TGGGTCAGAACTTTGGGTTCGATTGACTCTACATGGTTTCTTGGCCTCATGGCAGTGACCTGGTGACCTTGTGAACTTTGACCTTGATTTTACAAAAAAAAAAAAATAATAATAATATATATATATATATATTTATATATATATTTATATATAAATATATATACACACACACACACACACACACCTGGGGAGACATCAGACATCTCAACTACATCTACCAATGTGGGTCCTTAGGCAAGACCCTTAGTGCTATGGCCTACCTCATAAACATGAGTGAACTGATTCCCACCAATCAGTTAGATTAAAGTACATGGGAAAATAGGGTACAGGTTGTAAAAGAAAAGCTCCCCAAGTGCATAAATCAATTTAACCCAGGATCATCAGTCAAATTAACTGGAAGACCGGGATAACTTGGCCCTTAAAAAGAGTTATTGAGTCAACCCAAAATTTGGGTTAATTTGAATAACCCAACATTCTTGGTCAAAATAACCCAATAAGTAGTCGGTCCCGTTTCAACCCTAGTGTTGGGTTAAAAACAACCCAAGTTGGGTTGTTTCCAACCCAACACCAACACAGGGGTTTTTAGAGTGTACATACATTTATTGACTGATTGAGTGCCTGTGCCAGCATCAACACAAGCGTCTGCGGTTTCTCTGTGAGGGATTGTTAACATGTTTGGGATGCCTTTTCCTGCTGATCTGTGAGTCTTGCGGTGTGTCACGCTCAGTTTAACATCTCCACTCTTTGTTTATGCTTTTATAACCCCCCTGTGTGTCACCTGGCATCCTTTCCAGTCCACAGATCGTTCATCATCGCTTTGGATCATCAGAGAAGAAAATCAGACTGAGAGCGATCCCCCCCCGAGGCGACTCTTCTGTTGAGCTGACTCACAGCTTTGTCACATTAACAGCTATTGACACTGATGACTGGATTAATGACGAGTTTTCCCTGAACATTATGGCTTCAATTAAACAGATCTGAGACTCTGAGTCAGCGTGTCATTTAGAGACAAGAGAGCAAACAACCAGTCATTCAACAGATGGAAGAGAGAGACAAAGCTACAGCTCAGACTGTCAGTAATGAATAACGAGATCTTTTCTGGTTAAACCTTGAAGGTTTTTCATACAAACTGATCCATAAGCTTCTCATGTAAAGATAGCTTTAATTTACAGTCGAGTTGTTCCTTTAAGGCAAATGTGATCCATTAAATGTGATGATAAAAAATGTGTTGTCTTCTAGCCAAGAGATGACTACTTGTCATTTGTGAGGATTCCTCAGCTGAAGGTTTATTAAGAGAAGATTTTTACTGCTGGAGCTTCTATTCTTCAAGATGGATGACAGGGTCAGCACATTTGTTTTTGTCGTATCTATGACAACAATTTAGCAGAAACATGTTTAAGACGCATTTGAGCATCTATGACTTGGGTTCACAGTGACAGAAGCTAAATTCAGGGAAAGTTTCTGTCCAAGTCTCAGTGGCCGAACTCCCATGTGATTCAGGAGGGGTTGACTTAACTATCAACTGGTTTCAATAGTAGCTAATCGCAAACATACAGTATGTGAATCTGGGTCCATGTCCATATCTTCATCAAGCAATGTCTTTCTTTCTTTCTTTCTTTCTTTCTTTCTTTCTTTCTTTCTTTCTTTCTTTCTCTCTTTCTTTCTTTCTTTCTTTTATTGTCATGTGTCATTTTAAGAGTTTAGGTCCCCCTATGTTTTGTATTTATTTTGAACAAATCTTGGGTGGTAGTGATAACCTAAATGTCTTTTTTTAATACTCTGAAAATTTTGGTCCTTTCAGAATCTATATTTATACTTATCTGAATGTATACATCAATATATATATATATATATCCACATCTTTATGTAAACCTGTGTATCTGTATCTATATTAAATATATATCCATCTTACTACTTTCCCTGGGCTTTTATTTTGAAAGTCTTACATTTGACTTCTGTGTCATGTGACTGTCTTTATTTGATTTTTCATGTGGTAAAATACACAGAAAAAATAAAGCTAGTTTTCTCTTTTTTCTCCCCAAACTGCTGTTTTGTATTTTTTTTTATCTTAATTTGAAAAACAGCTAAAGGAGCTGTTTCCTGTACTCACAGTCTATTCGTGTCATGTGGAGAAGAAACTGCCTGAAAGTAAACCGACTAACAGAGCTCCTTCCAAAACAAAGAGCTCAAAATTCAACACATGACACTAGGAGGGAGTCTGTCTGTAAATTTAGGGCGAGAGGACATCAAGAAGAAGTCGGTGGATCTACTTTTAGTGACATAACATTGATTTATAAAACAAAGATTGATCAGGTCTTGATTTAATGATGATCAGAGTTTTTGTTGTTCAGACAGAGTCTGTGTCTCTGTCCTTGGTGCTGAAATCTAACCAAGGCTCTGTCTGAAATCGAGGCTCTCTTTCACTGTTTTCTTTACAACAGACACTAAATAAGGATCAGTTTACACCCTTTATGTATCTTGGTGATTGTTGAAGGCACTTTTGTGACTTAAATTAAAGAAGTGTAGGTGTAATGGTGCAGTTTATAGGTTAGAGCACAGCTCACGCTTGCCAAGCCAACCTCCGGTCTTTCTCAGATAACCTCTGTGTTCCCATCAACCACCGGAGACAGTGAATTGAAGACAATCCAGGTAAGGTGGGTTAAATTTTTTTAGCTTTAACTGTAGGGTACTTTTTACTTCCCTGCTTTTCTTTCTTCTGACTTACTTCTTCTTTCTTTTATTTCTTTCTTTCACATTTCGGTGAAAAAACCAAATTGGAATTGTTAGTAATTTGCATGCCAGTGAAGTTGTACAGACTTTTCTGGCCGCTTACACGTCAGGCTTAAGTGGAGATGTTGCCAGAGGCTGAGCTTTGTCCAAGGATGGAGAGTTAAAGACCGAAGACACAAAGAAAAGTCTTTTTTTAGATTTTCGATGAGGTTGGAAGATGGAGGATGTTTGTGTGCTTGAAGGGAGTGAGTAAATGAAAAGGAAACTCAATAAAAGATTTTGGATTAAAATAAGAAAAAGAGCTTTGCAGCATTAGGATTAAAGGGAAAATATGCACCGGTGGTCAGCCTCAAACTCTTTGGACAAAGAAACCCTAATGTGTTTCTGCTGCAATGGTCCTCTGCTGCCCCCTGGTGGTTATCAGGAGTATAGCATGACACATTTAGACCTGCCTCTTATTTAATAATCTGGCAGCTTGAACCATTTATTCCCTTGTAGATCAAGATAAATGTTTGTTACCGTGCCTGCAAGTTTATTAGTGCTCTCTTATGATATTACATTTTAAGTTGATCGGTTTTCCAGCGGTTATTGCTTTGCTGTCATGCAGTCAGTGTTGAGTTGAATTGATGAGTGTTCTGCTAAACCAATAAAGTCAAACGAAATGAAGCAGTGTTGATGTTTGTGTTGGATTGAACAATCCTGAATACCAGAGTTTAGTTACATTTTCTCAGCACAGTGAGAGCAGACTGATTTTTCACAGCATGAAGACACGCTGAATGATGCACACAAACATGATTACACACACTCACACTTCAGCTTTCATTCCCTCGTTCCTCTAAATAATGCCCTTTCATTTCAAGACACTGTTTCTAACCAAATATTCATGCACATAACCTTCTCACTGTCAAAGACTGTTCTCAGTTTACATCCCCGAGTATTTGGAGCTGAGGAAAAGCTTTTGGATTTTCAGCACGAACAGGAAAGTAATGAAACCTTGAAAACATGAAAACTCACAGGCAGACCTGTGCTGTTGACCTCAAGTATTTTTTCAATAATTAATCAGTTTAATGTCTTATTTACTGTCTTATTTATTAACCTATAAATTAACTTCTCAATTAACTTATTTGCTATTTTATTGATTAACTCATTTATTAAATTATTTACTTTGTTATTGATTAACTTACTCATTTATCTACTATTGACTTTCTTATGTATGAACTGATTTACTTTGTCATTAATTTATTAACTAAATCACTGATTAATTAATCTCTTTAGTTACTGGCTTATTTATTGACTTTTTAACTTTATTTTTTTAAAGTTATTAATTTATGTCATTTATTTCCTTACTTTTTATGACATGTTTATTTCACTAACTGGTTATCTTATTCACATATTAGTGAACTTAATTATTTATTTTAGTTACTCACTGACTTACTTGTAAATTGTTTTCTTAGTTTTTTTACGGACTTGTTTCATAACTTTCTATAACTTATTTAAAACCTATTTATTTCCTCATTTATTCTCCTATGGATTTACTTCCTTACTCACTTCTTAACTTGCTTATCAATTTATTTATTTTCTTGTTTATCCAATTATTTACTTACATATTCACCTTTTTACTAACTTATTTACCTGATTATTTATATACTTTTTCAAAAGTTTACTCCCAAATCTTTAAACAGAAACAAGCCTATCTTAAAAAGATATTCTGGCGTAAATTTAATTTAGGGTCAAACACACCATAACACTGAGTTAGACACTCCCTTGAGAGATGAATGTTGCAGACTGCTTGCTTCTCTAGTTATACCAACTTTAGTAACAACTGCATGATAGCAATACACAGCGGTCTATGTCTCCACGCACAAACCTCAACCAAAAAGCCACTCTATAGCCACAAATAATGCTCAGAACAGCACCTAACTTCATCAACAGTACATATAGGGTCCTAGCCACAACACTAGCCACCAAACATCTTTTTAGCTTTGCCTAATTTCTTAAGGAAAGAGACTAAACACAACTCACCCACTCTCCTCCAGCAGCCGCTTACTTGTGAGGGAGCCCTGACGAGTCGGTCACCAAGTGCAGCGGATCATTTCCTTGAAGTAATAATCATCATTATAATCCTCTTGCACTGCAGACGCGGTAGTTCTTCTGCCTTAGCATCTCGGTCTGATTGCATTTCCATGAAAAAAAGGATCATAAATGTTTTTCCTTGGGCTGCGAAAATCTGCCACCGCCAAATCTGGAAAGTCTAAATGAAGAACCTCTCACTATCTCAGAGGAGGATTCAATGACTCGTCACCATGCACTGGAGTTTCAGGGTTTATATCACCTTCCCTCACCTGGTCTCACTCAGGTCAATCAGGCGCTCACACACCTTAAAGCCGCGTTCAGACCAGCCGCGACCTGACGCGACTTGGCGACGGCTCCCAATGCAAAGTCTATGGCCAGCCGCGACCTGACGCGACTTGGCGACCGCCGGCTTCCTGCGACGCGACCATGCGCGACCGGGCGACCGGTCGCCAAGGCGCGTCCCCGAGGTCGCGTCGCCGAGGTCGCAGGACGCCAAGTCGCGTCGCTCCCAAAGTTCAAATATTTGAACTTTGGGAGCGACTTCGTGCCGCGACAGCCAATCAGGGCTCTGCTGACGTCAACAAACCGGCGAAACAAGGAAGAGGAGAAGAAGAATCACAATGGAGGAGCAGTTGATCACATCCGTTAGCTACCACCCAGCTAACTGCCCCTGCTTGCTAGGCTACATGTTTCAACGTATGTGTGTGTGTGTCTTTGCAGTGGATGTGTGCCGTAAGCGGTGGAAGGGGCTTAGAGACGTTTATATGAGGGACAGACAGATAGACAGGCGCTCCGAAGCTGAGATGGAGCGCCTGTATTTCGTGTCCAGGCGGGAGATGCTGCTTCCCACCTGGGCGAGGAGGTCCTCGAACTGCGCCGTCGACACACGGAAATACCGCTGGAAGCGGCCGTCGTCCAGGCGGAGTTCCTGGAGCAAGCGGTGAAATTCACCCAGCTCCGTCCTCCTCCGGATGGTTTCATGCACCCATAAACGCCGGCGGCGTCTACTGCGGATGTACAGATATGCGGCAGCACTGATGAACTGAAAACTGAGCTAGTGACATGGATGACGTCACCGGCGACCAGCCGCGACCTGCGACTGCAACTTTGGACCCGGTGTGAACACACCAGAGCACCACGCGACGCGACCTAACCGACCAACGCGACGCGACGCGACCTGTGCTGCGTCCGAACTGCCCGCTCGGATACTACATGCTACTGCTACGTGCTACTGCTAGATCCTACTCCTACATACTAAACACGTTGGCCCAATTCGGACACACTAGACGAGCGGTGGGGAAAGACGACCCCCGCAGGCAGAGAGTAGGTACTGCGCCCGTGCGGACAGTGGTAACTGAAGCCCCTCATCTGCGGGCCTGGCTGTAGTACTGCAGCTGTGCAGTTTAATGATGGAATAAGTGAGCTTTACCTCCATGATGTCGCCACATATTTGCTCATAAAATGATTACTTGGGCAAATATGACACCATGACATGACAAAGAGATACAACCGCACATTTTTTAGGACAGTGTGTGAAGTTACATGAAACTTACATCTGTACTGCTGCGGTCCCGCGACATGGTGCGCGCTGTTGTGGCCAGCTGGCGTTCGCGATACATTTAAATAGGCAGAGCAGCTGGTGGCGCTAGCATCACATGCGCTTCTACAACTTTTAAGAGGACGAAGAAGAAGCCCGTGGTGCATTTTGGGTCAGTAGCATGCCCGTAGGATGCACCGAGACCAACCTACAATGTGGGCGTGTCTAGTATCTGAAGTAGTATCTGAAGTAGCATGCTACTCGCTCCGGTGGCCAATTCGGACATGCTAGATACTACTTCGACTTCTACTTCGACTACTACTTGGCAATTCGGACGCAGCTCTGGTCGCGTTTGGTCTGAACGCGGCTTTATTCTGCTCCGCGATGATTCCCTCTTCCACCTCAAGGAAAACAAATAAGAGTCAATGCGCCTCACAGTTTGGTGATGTTAGCTTAATCTAAGCTAACGATAGAACTTCAATTTCTTTGGGAAAATGGTGCTAAATTCTACGCATTGTACCTTTAACATTAAACATAGTAGCTTTAAAGGAATATAAGATTCCTACTGCAAACATGTTCTCATGTCTCTGTGACCCTGAAACTTAAATGTCAAACTGAGGACTTTTGGAGGGACTCTGATCCATTTGAAATCCATTTTGAGATACTTTAATAAAAGTTCTGCAGGTTCAATAAAAACATGACACCGATCCCAAAACCACCACTTATTAAAAGATTCTTTATTCACAATAGAAGTGTAACAAATATAGTTTATTAAAAAGTCTGCTGCTTATTAATATCATTTTAATCCATAAGCTCAGAAGATTTTTATATAAATGTAGAGTGGCTCATTGGCCAGAATGGAATATTTACATTTTTCAATAATAATAATAATAATATTAATATTAACACAATAAAACAGATTTCCCCACAAAATTAAAATATTGCATATAAACACAAAGTAAACTATGTGCAATGGAATGATTATCAGCAATATTTTGTACAGATACATTTCTGAGGTTCATGTCTTTAAACCTTTAAAGGGCAATGCCAACAAATTTTAAAAGTTCAGGTTATTTGGGTCCCAGAACAGGTCTAAGTGATCATAAAGGAAATCAAAGGTGTGATTTAAATCACGGGTTTTCATTTGGGGCTTAAAAGGTGCAGTTTCAAATAGATGTGAGGTTGAATTTCTAAAATAGGTGGTATTACCCTTTAATTTTCACCAATAGAAAGGCATTGTCACACACACAGACCATCAAAACAATATTCAAAAAATCACCAAAAATAAGCAACCTTTTTTTTTTCAGGAGAACAACATACAGAGTCTGCATGTGGAGATGAGCAGATGTCTGAGGCGCTTCGACAGACCTTCACACTGACGGCTATCGTGATACAAAACTAAATACATTCTGCTTATTTTCTTCCTATTCGGGCAGTGAAACGACCAGATCCAAGCTTTTTCAGATAAATCCAGGACAACCAGGTCCTACTGAGCCCCTGAAGTCCCATAAAGGTGATCATTTTTATCTTGTGCACACTCCTACGAGCAAATTTTGAGCAAATACTATTCATATTATATACTTATCTGTTTAACTGGTCATGGTATTTCATGCCCAACAAGAGCGCCCTCTGCTGCTCAGATAAAATTATTTTTATCCATGTGATGAGTTTGAGATCACTAGGCCATACTTCACCTGCTGGATCACACACAAAGTTGGCTGTTAGTGACCTGATTTTGTTCAGTTTTTATCAAAATAATCAGCAAAACTTGAGTATCGTGCTAGTCCAGGCAGGGCAATGGACTGAAACTCCCCTTTGTTTTGTTTTGTCATATGCTCGGTTTTGAACCCTGGAGGTCTTTGCTGCTGCTCTCCCTGCCTCTGCTTTTCCTGTATGCACATGAAACAAAGGGGAGTTGTGCTCTGCCCGCTGCAGGCTTTGCACTAAATACAACTAATGCGTTAAAGTTATTACTTCTGTGGACAAAAGTGCACACTGCATGCAAGATAACTTGTCCACACAAAATAAGCTATGAGCACAAGGAAAAATGATCACCTTTACAGGACTGTTGGAGCGTCGTTATTTCCTTTCAGCCCTTTAATTTGAAGTTACTATCCCAAAAACACTGAATTGTGTTTCTGTGCCTCCACTTCCCTACAGTTCAGAGAATGAGTTTCACAAACAAGTGATTTTAAAAGCGAATAACTCCTTAAATGCGTAAAAACCAAACGTCAGTCCAAAGATCTTAACATTGGGAGGAAAGCTTGTCTTCTTTCACATAAATGCCCATGGAGAAATTCTCTGACCACCAGCTATTAAACTCAACTTTAGGAAGAAAACAAACAAATTAACCTCCACCATTTTAAAAAAATTAATTGTATATGTCATATAAGATAATCAGAATTAACAGAGGCTTTATTTTACTTAAAGCCAGGATTAAATGGCTGGATTAAATGCAGCATTAAATCCAGACTTTTCCTAATGAAGTTCTGCTTTTGATTGGTCTGCTTCTCTCCTGCTCGCTGTTTCTTTGTGTTTGGAAAATACACTCCATTAACACTGATATAGTTTCACCTGCAGAAGTTTGTATCAATTGATGCCTTCATACATAAACTAATGTGTTTTCCTGAAGCTTTAAATTGTCAGATATAAACCAAAACCCATTCTTAATTTGAAAGTTTTTGAAATTTAAAGGACAGACTTTAATTATAGGGCAAAACTTAAATCATAAAGTGTCGCTATAACAGAGAAAAAAGCTTCATTTTAACATCCTGCTTCTTCTTGATGACTCGACGGAAGCTCCTCTGAGTGACAGTTCATGAAGCAGCTTCATATACACTCAGATATGATCATTTTCAAACTGGATTTTTCTGCTGTTTCTTCTGTCATGACTAATTTTCCCACAAAAAAGAATAAATGTACATGTTCCATGCCCTGAGGAACACCTCATGTGGCATATTTAGATCATTTCCTACGTTAACATCCATGTATTTCTCTATCATCAGACACACGAACAGGCTCATAGCTCCTCCTTTCCTTTAACTTTTCTCCGCCTGCTCGCTCTGATTCAACTTTTTGTGCTTTTTCAGGATTAAAAATAAACAAAAACACAAAGAAGTGAACACAAAGGACAAAAAAAAGCATAAAAATATTCTTCACTTCACATTGGATGGTACATTCATACGATTTCATTCCTCCTGTACGGATGTTTGATTCACTCCCAGGTGGTTCATTTACCCTCAAACTTTTTTTTTTTTTTGGTAGATAAATATGCAAACACCCCTCAAACAGTTGATAAGCTCCATTTTTAGGGTCTGGTTCCAAACCACTGGACCTACAGCGCCACCTGGGGGCTGGTTCCCAAACCCTCCAAGTCCTATGTTCACTACTGCAGAATAAATTAACACAATCAGTACAAATCAAACATTAAAACATCACAGAGAGAAGAGAAAAAACGCCTCCTAAGTGAACAAAAACACAGATTAAACACAGACGCAGTGCGGTCTGTACAGTGATGCAGAGAACACAGAGGGATTTCTCACAGCTCACCAACAAAACAGGAAGAAGTTCTGACTGATATGTAGGTGTCGGGACAAGAACTCGAGCTGTGTCAGGATTAGGGACTACATTAAACCCCAGATGTTTAGTTTCTGACGAGCTCAGATGTACTTCAGAGCAGATGAAGTGACATTTCCACTCTCCTTTTTCGTCTTTCACAGTTTCTATGAAGTTTTTTATTGTGTTCAAAAGCTTTTTTTCCAGTATGAATCAGCAGTTGTTGGTTTCGATTTATGGGGAAGAGATGAAAAACTGTCAAATGTACTCTCCAGAACTCATGTCAAAGCTGCAAAAATCAATCTTTTGTCAGGCTCAATAGTTTAAGTTTCATTTCGACTCCAGGCCTTTCGACACTGTTGTCACATCATTTCTTTCTGCTCCATCCTTCTGAGACACTTTCCACTGTTTGAAGCTGGTTTTTCAGTAATGTTTCATCACTTTTAGGTTTAACCTCTTAAACTGACAAACACCCATCCTGCAAAAACTCAATCTGACCAAAGATCTCAAGTCTTTCTCTAATTTCTAGTCAAAACATCTTACTATTCTTCAATCAGGCAACGCTGACTTTATTTCATGATATTGCGTAAACCAGTGGTTCTCAAGTCCAGTCCTCGAGGCCCCACTGTCCTACATGTTTTGGATGTTTCCCTGCTCCAACACACCTGATTCAAATGATCAGCTCGTTATCAAGCTCTGTGGTGGCTTAATAACGAGCTGATCATTTGAATCAGGTGTGTTGGAGCAGGGAAACATCCAAAACATGCAGGACAGGGGGGGCTCGAGGACTGGACTTGAGAACCACTGGCGTAAACCATGACTGCTTCAGTGTGTTAGGCACACTGAATACATAGTGAGGCAGCCCATAAGAGCAGCAGGTCCTTCTCATTAGGTCATAATCCTGCATGTAAGGAAAACAGTGGTGAATTATGAAGTAAGTAAGTAATCCTTGTGAGGTGCTGATTCCTCAATAGGGTGGGGCAAATCTCAGCAAACTGGTCACAGACATCTTAGGAAGTGTTTTTATCCTACTTTTAGTGAAAAAGTCTTCTTGGGCTTTATTTAAACCATGTTTAGCTGACATTTCCTGGGAATGTCTAACATTAAGATATTATAGATCCAAATTGGGACCCGATCTGCTTGGAATAAGAAATAACTCGCTTGTCAGATCTTGAAATCAGACCTT